AAACAAGGAAAATTAATTCATTTTATTTTTACAAATATCTTTATGGTTTTATCTGGTGAATAATACACTTAAGTAAGATTATATTAAAATGATTAAAGTAGTTTTTAATTTCAATTTTAAAACGTGTATCTAAAAAAGAACACAGATTTGGAAATCTACACATTCTAAAAATGAAACTAAAAGCTTTTAATTTTTTTAAAATATTTAATTTTAGGTGTATTCTCTAGATAAAAACATAAATTTATTTAGGGGAAAAATAACTCATTGATTTTCCTTGTTTAGATGAAATTTATTTGCAAAACCCCAATAATAGTTGACTGGTGTACCAGAAAAGAATTGCCATTTTTTTTTTTTTGCTTACTTTATAATTTTTGAAGGAATTTGCTTCCTCGGGTCAGAGAAGAAATGAACATCTTCCTGGTTGTACTTTAAGTTGTCTTCTAATTGAGTGTACAATTTCAAGAATATTGATAAAGATTGTTGACTTAGATTTTTCAAAATGTGTAAAATTTAATCTCAAAAAAAAAAAAAAAAAAAAAAAAATCATTTCGCATTTTTGACTGCAATACCATTTTAACTTGCTGTAAAAAAATAATTCAATGAATAACAGCATATACAAATTACATATTTAGAAAGATTATATTATTTTCTTTCTAGCCATATGAATATTTTTAAGATTGAACCAGAAATACACAAGATATTGTGAGTTGAACAGATCAAGTATTATCAATATCAAACAAAATCAGATATCGTCTGGAAATGCTATCATTACACAAGAAAATGAATGGCTTCCTTAGAAAGCAAAAATACAAAATTAAAAACCAAACCAAAAACCATGGTATCAAGGAAAACAAAACTGGAAACTGATACCAAAACATAAATTGCCAAACCCATTGTGATAGATGGAAATTCATTTGCTTGATGATGATTACAAGTTTGGTTTCTGATATACTAAATCTGATCACTCCCCATTTTGTTAAAGCGAGGCCAGAAGAGCCTCTAAACCCTTTAGATTTTTTTAGATGTACCTATATACCATTGTATCATCTGCATAGATATTCACACGAGATCAGTGTATGCTCTTAGGCCAACCCTCTTCCTGTTTTATATTAATGATATATAAAACAGGAAGAGGGTTGGCCCAAGAAGCAATCTTTTTCTGACCATTAAAAACTACCTTCATGGATCTACTTGATAGGAAGGACTTGATAATTGAGAAAATTCTTTCAGTAATTTCATAGCTGGAGAGCTTGTGTAGCAACCCCCTTATGCCATACCTTGTTAAAGGCCTTCAATATATCTAATGCACAATCATCCTTGTGATGTGGCTATTGTTTAATGCCTCACTGACAGGATAGCAATGGTCAACCAAGCAGTTTTGAAATCTGTATTTTCTATCACTCAAGAGGTTGTCCCTGTTGAGGTGCTCGACAACTTTCTAGTTGATTATAGCCTCAAAGAGGAGACTGATGGGTCAATATTGAGATGGGGATGAGTGCTTACCCACATTCTTGAAAAATGATATCCTTCATAGCCTTGGGAAGGATTTCTCTTTTAGGCAATAATTGAAAAATTTTGCTAAGATTGGAGATAATTCAAGGCTAATATTCTTAAGGACAACCACTGGGATTTTATATGAACTGGTAACCTTTTTAGGGTCAAGGATTTTGATATGTCTTGAGACCTCCCAGGATGTGATGGAAAGAATAATACCAAAGAAAAAGCTAAAACAACACTAAAAAAAAAATAGATTCATTCGGCTTATTAAGAAAAAAATAAAATAAAGTTTTTGTTATACAGTGTACAATAATAATTTCTCATAAAAATTCAAACAATTATTTTCTTTCGATATAAGATTTATTGAACAAAATAGGATTTTGTTATATAATTTTCAGCCATCTTTCAGCCAATTACATAATTCCTATCTCCAAAATCTTTTATCTTTATTAGAAAAGAAAAGCTCAAGGTACTCTTTGTCAGTTTCCTAGAGAATTGCAATTTTACATTAAGTCAATTTTTTTAAAATTTGAATAAATGGAAATGCAAAAGTGTAATATTTGGGTGGACAAGTAAAAATTTCTGACATAAGTTATGACAAATTTTGTCTGGATAAAAAGGCACAATTCATGCAGTATAGTCTAGCATTACTCATTCATTTTTCCCTTTCTTTTAACAAATTCTAGATTCTTTCTGTTGATTGCTAACTTTAATTTAATTAGAAAAAATAAAGAAAGATATTCTAACTTTGGTATTTTTAAAATTCATGTTCTTATGACAACTGTCACAATGCAATCAAAAGTAACTTTTTGAATGTACAAGGAGTTGCTTAACTCTTACTTCCAAAAATCCATTTTTTTTTTGTTGGGGGAGGCTATTTAAAATAACTTGTGAAACAATGAGCCAAGTGTGTTGAACCACTAAGTGAGTATGAAAATATGTTGACTGGCATATATATTTCATGGCTCTCAGGTTGCCTAAGAAGAAGGACTAAAGACTTTTCAATACCCCTTAATAATTCAAAGCAAATTTTCTAAATACAATCTAATGATAAAATATGAATTTTTTAGGCTACTGAATATAAATTAAAAAAAATGAAAATGGAAACAAAAATTTAATAAGCAAAGTTTTAAAATAAATTATCTTATTTTTTCCATGTAATTGCAAAAATAATTTTTGAACTGACAAGTTGAGTGGCACTACATTGTTAATATCAATCCATACATCTACAGTGAAATAACATCAACAAAATCTGTCTACAAATTAGACAACTTTTCATAACATAAGCACAACTGAATCAATTAAATTCATAAACAGATGTGTGTGTATATATATATATATATATATATAAATAAATAAATAATGCTGCTAAATTTTAGAAACATGAAAATGCAAACATCTAAAAATATTTGTTTTGTCTGTTTTCATTTGATTCAATTTCCTTTTATATTTCTTCATATCTGTCTCTCTGATAAGATTTTTCTTTGCTTTTATTTCCAGATTTCATCCTCAATAAATTTCTATAAATGTTAGTTTGTATCTAGAATTTTAAATGTCTTAAATAAAATACTCAGAATGTATTCAAATATTTCATAGATATAAATTCTTATATATTAACAGAGAGTGATTTTAATAAAACTGATTAGGTTGGTTGATAATACAAGCTGGAAATATAGATGGATATATCAATAAAAATTTTCTTAATTTCTCTATGAAGAATGCAAACAACACTCTTCAAATAAAACAATAACAAAAGGAGGTTCATATTGGTTAGATATTTAAGAAAGCTGTCTGGTATGAAAAATGGATTTTTAATTTTATTAATTTATTAATCAATTGAATGTGTTTGTTTTATTACACACCTCTTTTGTTTTAAAAAAAAAAAAAAAAAAGAGAGATAGACCTAATTTAACTTGGTTAGATTTTTAGATATGAAAAACATAATAACTAGGCATTGGTGGCAACACAAGTATTTCTTCATATTATCAAAATAAGAAATATAAATACAAATTTCAAATATTCTTTCAAATTTTTATTCTATTCTTATTCCAATAAAGTCATTGTTGCAAGGCTTTTATAATAAAACATTTTTCTCTCAATAATCCAGTTATTAGCAATTTTCATTGATAAGATTTGCATCAGGAAAATGAATAATCACTACTAAATATTTGTAATTAGCAACTTGCAATGTCAGATTACCAAAAAACAATAGAAGCTTGTTAAAGTTGCCTTTCTTAGATTTCAATTCTGAATTTCCTGTTGGAAATAAAAGTTCTATTAAGGCCAATAACTAATTTCACATTAGCCATCAACAAACAAGTTATTTAATTTACCTCTAATTAATGCAAACATTTAAAAACCCCTCCTCAAACGAACAACAAAAAAAAATTGGTATTGCCTTGATATTTAAGAAAGGTTGCTAGAAAGCAAACAAAAAGTTGTCTGGTATAAAAAATTGATCTTTAATTTTATCAATTTATTGATCAATACCACATTCATAGCAATATACCTTATAACTATTGAAGAAGATGAAATTAAATGCTGCTAAAAATAGATTTTAAGTAATATAAAAAATATGAGAAAATTAATATTTAAACAGTTTTGTATAGATTACACATTGCAATGTTATCAAACTTAATATAGATTAAACAGAATATACAAAAACATTTCAACTCTTGGTTAAAAACAAGTAGTAAGTTATCACAGTCTAGTTGCAATCAAAAACTACACTTTTTAACAGCTCCATACAGTATGCATTATCCTTTATAAGAACACTAGCTATTCTGAGATCTTTTAGGGATTTTTCTGCATAAATCTGATTAATAAAAGGAAGACAATATTTTTTAATTATTCATTTAATAATCTTAATGGTACTATATTTTTGAGAAAACAAAACATTTCTCCCAAAATGTTTTCATTAATAAAAGTTAGGGCAAGCTATAGATTATACATGAAGTTTATGTTAAAACCAATACTGTTATCTTAAACAGACAGACATAATTCTAATAAACTAAGTACTGGCTGCAATATTTTAAAGAATATGATATATCGACTTGTTTCACATGAATTATTAAGATTTTTAGACTTTATTTATTTTTTTGTTTTGAACAGTATCAAATGTCAAACCCTCTGGCATAAAGAAAAAAACTGAGTTGAAATTACACCAGTTATAAAGACAACAGTTTTGGCTCCAGAGAAATAATTTCACAGATCCTCATTGGAGACTTTTTTAAAAGTTTCCAGCCACATGAATTGATCTGTAGTGAAACAATTATAGTTGGGGAACAAAGAAAAAAATGTTGAAAATAAGAGTAAAAGCACATAGTATGATAAGAGTATATTTTGTCAAATGATAAATAAGTAGAATGGTTTGATTTTGAGCAAAGGTTAATAAAAATTGGACAAATGGATAGGAGAATAAATGAAAAGGAAGAAATATAGAAAAAGAGAGTGACAAAAAGCAGACAGGAAAGTTTAAAACAGAAAGAATATTGGTGATTCCATCAATAAAATGAAAAAGAGAAGAAATAACCAAGTAGGAATGATAAATTACAAAAATAGTAAAAAGAGAGAGGAAAAAGTAACAGAAAAGAAAAGGAGAGAAAAAAAAAGAAAGTGTCCATGAAAGTAAAAAAAGAAAAAGCAAAGGAGAAAGAGAGGATTAAACACTGGTCGAGTGATTGATAGTTGAGAAAAAGAGAGAAACAGGTGAAATTAAAGAATAAAAGGAGAGGAAAAGTGAAATGAGAGAAGGGAGGAAAATAAACTGAATTAATAAGAACAAGAAGCATGGAGAAAAGGAAGAATTCAAAGGTAGATGACAAAATAAATAAGAATGAAGGAAAAGAAAGAGCAACAAAAGAAAAAGGAGAAATACAAAAAAAAATGAAAAGAGAAAACAAAGAAAATAATAACAAAAAAGAAACAAAATGTGATAGAATCTGAAAAAGAAGAAAAATAACAAAAAGTAAAAGAAAGCAAATGAAAGAAGAAAATGAAAAGAAAAGAAAAAAATATAAAGAGAAAAAGAAACAAAACTTAGGAAATAATGCAAAGAATGAGAGAGCAAAAAAGTCTGAGACACAGACAAAGTGAGAGTAAAGATATACACAGACTGTGAAGGAAAGAGAAAATCACCAGCAGAAAGAGTGTCATCTATTTTGGGTTCTGCCTGCAAATTTCCAGCTATGTATAAAATAATTGGATCTCATTTCTCCTTTTATAATCCAGTGACTTACTTGCAGATGATAGACATTTATTCTCCAATTTTGCTTATTTTCTCTTTTCCTTACTTAATTTTGGCTCTGGTTTTTAGCCAGTCATTTTTTTCCTTCATTAATGGACAAAAAGCTCCAAATAATCCAGACTAAGTAAACCATACCTATTTTTATTATGTACCATATTTGCTTTAAATCATGTCAGTGTATAGATACAATCAGAAACCCACTTAACAAGAGTATTCTTGGAGAAGGACTTTTGGTATGCAAAATAAATTCTTTCAATCTTTTTTTAAAATGTCAATACATATGTATCCTAATACACTGGCATGTGAAACTTTTGGGTCACATTGGCAAATTATTTTTTAATTCTATCCCAAAACTGAGAATAATTAGCAGTATGCTTTTCTCAGTACATTTTATGAGCTTTGAGGACCAGAAAACAAGTTACTGCATTTTTATTAATACTGTATGATGGATGATAAAGTATCATAAGCATAATGATACTGAAAATGGACATGCAAAAATACTGGACCACCAGAAAAAAATTTCACTGTTCTGCTCTGTGATCTTTATTATTACAGAAAATACAAAATGTCAAAGTATAAAGTTAGTAATTAGTGTTTGTATGTTTAGCTCGAATAACTGCCTCAATTCAATGTGGCATTGAATGGAACAAGGTTCAGATTTTCTCATTGGAATTTTTTTCCTATTCTTATTGGCAGTAATGCCAAATCTCTTAGAGATTGCATGGTTTTCATTGGAGCACTTGTATCTTCAGTTCCCACCACAATGATTGAATTATATTGAGATCAGAATTCTATACTGGCCAGTCTTCCAAAAGTTGAATACAAAAACTCTTCCATGCAATGTGTGGCACAGAGCAACATCATGTTGAGAAATTTCTCCATCTTTCTTGTCTGGCAGATTAGACCATAGTAAACTAACATAATTTTCACTGTTTCGATTTCTATCAAGTTTTAACAATTTTCTTCTACCATCAATCATTATGCAAACTCTCCCCGCCACCATTAGGTGTCCACCACCTAATTTTACCTTCTTTGTGGTGTCTTTTCCATTGTTTCTTTCTGCTGATGATCTTAAATATTCTCTTGCATTAGAATGTAACTATTTTTCATTCATCACTAAAAATTACTTTTTGCTACTTCCCAGCATCCCATGTTAGATGTTCTTTTGACCACTTCAATCTTCTATTCTGATGTTCTATGGGTTAATGAGATTTTTTTTTTTTTTGCTGCTATATGCATGTTTAAGTTATTTTTTTCATAATAATCTTTATGGTGTATCAACTAAAATCTCACTGTTAAGACTGTATTCAGTCCTCATTTGCCTAGTTTTTAACTCCCAATTTTTCTTTCATCTTGTCTATCTTTTGTGGTTGTAGTTAATTTTAAATGAAAGCCTAATTAGTATAGCTAAGGCATAGAGACTATAAAAGTGTCTAAGCAGTAAGGGGAAAAGTAAAATATGATACGCGAGATTAATGACTACTGCTGTGCTGAGAAAATATGAAGGAAATCACATTTCATAACAATAGTCTTCCAGCTTCCGTTGCACTCAAAACATTTCTGTCAGTTATAGCAAACATCTTTTGGATGGTTTGAACACTTTTTCTGAAATTTCCATCCATTCATCTATTTCTCAATGTGTCATTTTCCCCTTCAATGTTGCAACCATCTTTGTTTCAGTAGAGACATTTAATAAAAAATGGTTTTAACCAATTAAGAAGAATATAAATTTAAATGATCAGGTAAAGAAGACAAGATCTTATTGATTTTGATTGTAGAAATTAAGCGAAAACAAAAATGAGAACTCAATGTATGAATCCATTTCTGGATTTATTTGCAAGATTAAAAGTTATTAAGTATGGTCATTCAAATACTAATGCTTGCTTACATTCAATACAAAAATGTCTTAACCGATTTTGTCACTTACAGTTTTAGCCAAAATTTTCATCATCCAGTTAATGGATTACAGTAATGTTCAAATGTAACAAAATAATTGCATCACCAATATTAAAAAATTAAATTTTTAAAAGATTAAAATTTAATACAATTTCAAATTTGCCTTATAATTAAGCTTACCGTTATTTAAAGCTAGTATATGTTGTATTTTATATTTATATTTCATGAAATTTATTTAATCTTAGCTTAAATTTAAAATAATAAAAATTAAATATTCAGTATTTTTATAAAGAAATATGCTACATGAGACTAATATAGAAACTGTTTCTATTTATACTTTTAGAAACAATTATTTTATATTAACTTTTTACAAACATGCAAAACTTTAATGAATGTGTAAACAAACATTATAAAATATATTTACCTCTTAAGAAATCAAAATTTTAGCCTTTCAATCACACTTGCTTATAAGTTAAAAGTCCACAAACCTTTTGATATTTATAATAATTTATGAAAAACTGAATATAAAGTTTGATTTGAAAAAGGCTACATAGTGTTCAGGGTTTCACATTGGTTTATATTTATAGGAGAATATAAACCCTAAATATCAGACTAATACTGAGTGACAAAATAGGATTTTGTATGTGTATATATATATATATATATATATATATATATATATATATATATTTATTAATTGCACATGAAAGATGAAATTACATTATAATTTGTTCAGGAGCAAAGATTGGAATTTGTCACATGGTTCAAATTAACTATCCATCTATTTGATTTAATGAGTGTTCTTTGAATTTTTATAAATAATTCATTCATTCCATTTATTTATTCAGTTAGTGTATTTTGTGCTGCCACTGTGGTCACTGCTCTCCCCTATTACTGTGGTAATTGTGGTTCATGATGACATTCAAGGCAAAATAATCCAATAACTTGGTGGTTCCTTTTGCATCAGGACTGCTGAATTTACCCCATCCCTCCTCTCAGAAATTCCTTCACCCACTGGTAAAGTTATTGACCTCTGAGGTACATCTCCTACACCCAAGCTGGCAACTGGCCAATAGGCAGGTTGGGAATACCCTCACACATTTTAGCCAGCATGTGGATACCGTTGACCAAGGTGTGACCATTGCAGTGCCTATGCAATTTCTTGGATCCATGTATGAGAGTTGAATATAGGCCATGGACCAGTAAAGTTCCACATCCCAATTCACCTGAGTAAAGCAGGATCAACCACTTTACTGCAAAGGTACTGTCACTGTTGAGACACCCATATAAATAATATTTTCTTTTCTATATTTAATAACACGATTCAAAAAGACTTTCATTCATACTTTTTTTTTTTTTAAACACAGTGAGATTCATCCTGTACAAGGACTAGGGGTCACTTGAAGTAGAGAGTTACAGAGTAAGAGCCAGTTTATGCAGATAAGTGGGGAAGATAATGGTTAACACTAGACTTGAACAGGTTAAAATTGTAGTGATCAGGGAAACATCCTCTTGGGAGTTAGTTCCACAGAGGAGTGGTTTGCCAGATGTTATAAATAATATTTTCTTTAATGTATATGAAAATCTTTTTCTACAAATGAAGATTGTTTTTTTGCATTTTCCTTCTCTTGTATTGGAAGATTCAGTTATGAGATCATATCAACAACACAACAAATGTTAGAGGAGTATTCTGAGAAAATGAAGCTGAACAATTTTTTTTTTTTTACTTTTTGGGCACAAAATGCAAAATATAACTATGATGCTATGTAAACACAGAAACATAAAATGTTTCTTATCACATTACAACAAACAAAATTGTCTATTAAAGTAATACAGGCATTCAACATGTTTACACTAAAATCATACAATGAAAAGATCTGCTCATTAGATGCCTCTATTTCACCATAATATACATGGTGACTGAAAAGTAACTCCCCATTTTAAAATACTTATAATTTATTCATTAATTATAATTTTTACAAGAAATTGATATAAGAGGAAAGTGTTTAGCATGAGGTTTTATTTAAAATTTGATATGGCACCAGATTTCACTACCAGCTTCTCAAGCCACCTAGGAATTATGTCAACTGACTTCACCAGGAATTCTCATGGTATGAAAGACATAACTTCTTGTATTCTTCAAGTTCTTCAAAGGTCTTGGTTTGGTATAGTAGACTTGCTCCTTTAACCAACCCCAAAGAAACAGTCACAGGGTGTTATTAAGTCAGGAATCCTGGCTGACCACTCATACATAAAATAAGGAGTTACTTTTCAATCACCCTGTATATATTCTGGTGACTTCATGAATCCAATGCAAAACTTTTTATTAGTGCATAGTATGCCTGGATCACTTGTTATTATTGAAGCTTTTCAATCCAGATGCCCAAGGTTATAGGGAGAGATTTTTGTTCTTTGTCCATCTAAGTTCTTTCATTAAATTTTTTCACATACTCCCTACTAATATTTGATATAATGCCTATCTCAACAATAACTGGATTTTGGAGACCAGCCTTTACTTGAAAGGATATTGTTAGAGCATATTGATATTTGATATCATGTTGATATTCACAATAGAAAGAACATATGTTCTGAAGCAAACAACAACAAACACTTATCTGAGTGCAAACTTCTCAAAGTCAGAAAGATTATCTTGACATCATCTTTATAAGAATCAGCTGTTTTCCTTATCTTGTGCAAATGTTCAGCCTTACAAATGCAATAAGATATTAATTGAGCAAAATATTTCATGAAGAGCTAAAAATTTATTACTAATCCCAGTTTGTCATGTATAGCAATTTTATCACACCTTGGTGAAGCATTAGTAAATATTCCCTTGCTTTATCCAGTTGTTGAATAGTGTGCCAGCAAGAAGATAAACATGTGCATAAATCTCAACTACAATGCATAAAGGAGGTCATCAGTACCTAAATTCTTGTCACTCATTGCTTCTTCAACATTTTCTATCTTATAACTAGCTGCGAGGCCAGGCAAGTCAGTTAAATAAGTTCCAAAC